CGTCTCCGTCTCCGTCTCCGTCGGCCTGTGTCCGACCTTTCAACATCTTTTTCTGAATCCGACATTTTAGCATAGCATACACAATTCGCGTTTGCAGTTTGAAGAACACCTGTTTGCTTCTGATGATTTCCTTTAGCTAACAATGACTGTTTGTGTTCTATGACTCATCTAATTACACTAGTTTTCACTAGATTTGGATGGAGCCAATGATTATCATTGAATGGCGCACATGAAGTGAAATAAATATTTATAGACATTAAACCGAAGCCAAGAGTAACGAGTAACATTTGTTTTAAAAATGTAAATGTACTCGTTACATGACACCTCTGCCCTGCACACTGTTCTCACTCCTGCCCTCTGGGAGGTGTTACAGAAGCCTACGGACCAGAACCGTATATAAAGTGCGTCCACACACACACACACCCACAATATATATACACATATATATATATATATATATATATATATATATATATATAGCAGCTGAAGTATTTTTTTATAAGCAGGAGCAGGATTATTATATAGGGTTATTGTACTGGATATCAAATATAAAGAAATAGGTTATTGAACAGCGTGCTAAACAGTAATTGTACGTTATACATTGCAGAAGTTATTGCCATTGCAGTGTCGCGTATCCTAACTAAGTATAATCTGTATATAATTTTTCATATTTACTTATTTATTTATAGCCTCTTACAATTACTCTCTATTCATACATTTATGGATGCAAACTAAATGTTGTTGCTTTGTACTTGTGACAGTGAAATTACAATAAAGTTGAATTCTATTCTGTTTAATTCTATTTAATGTTTTTTGTAAAAAACAAACAAACAACATTTTAGATATTTATGTTAGCCTTTTTGCAGGAAATGCATGTACACATGATTTTTTTTTATGAACAAATACAAACTATGCACTTTTTTCGTTTGTTTTTAGTATTTTTTATTGGCTGTTTTACACCTTAGCTACATACATAAACCTTCTTGCAGCCTAGTTTTAAAGCAATAGTAAAATGGTGCATGAGAGCTTAAGCACTGCTGTGGTTGTGGTTTGTTCATATAAGATTGTTTAAACAAAGGGGCTTTCCTTCCTGTCCAAGCTGCAGCTTCACTAAAGGAAAAAAAAAAAACTTTTGATCTATACCTAACATGCAAGTAAACTGACACATTCTTGCTATGACTTATTCACCTAATGAATAAGTACACATTCGCACATGTACAAGTATGCTGAGCTTTTGTTTGTTTAATTTCCTGTTGAAACTTAGCACTTGATGCATGTTTTTAGAGTAAACAGCTTTGCGGTTGGTCGAAGGAGTAGTTGACAGAAAGAACTGTCAGAGATTATTGATTCTGCAGTCTGAAAAAACAATTTAGCAAGCTGAATATTCTGAAACATTGTTAAAGAATGAATCTATATCCATTACAATAATAAATAATTTGCAAACTTAATCTTAAAATCTTATTTTATCAGTGTGCACATGCAGAATACTGATGTGGTTGGATGGAGCTGGGTGATGAAAAAAAGTTTCCTACTGTTAGAAAGAAGTTAAACACATTTCAGTTTCAAATGTGTTTGCTACAGACATGTTGATATCACTATCAAATAAA